TTGTAAATAGAATATTAAACACTTTGTAGCTCGATTCTGAAAACAGGGACTCAACACGCTATTGAGATGAAATCACCAAGAACATGTCATCATGAAGAAGGTTAGGGCAAGCAGAGCAGTAGACATTAACACAAAGCTCTTGCATACCTTTCAGACTAAATGAGATTCTTTCCAATTTACCTCAAACAAATGTAAAACGGAAGCAAGGAGTCCTCAAAATCCCCACAACCCACCGAAAGTTTACACAGTGAAAGCATCAGAGCTACTCATATGTCAGCGGTCCTTGCTACACCATGAAATCTATTAATTACCTCCCTTGTGAAATTAATCTTTATTTTTGTATCTTTGAATATTTTCATTTATTATTTGACAATTTCATGCATGTACCATGCTCAGAAGCAAGGCAAATTACCTCTCTCACCTCCCTGCACCCCTCCGATAGTCCCCCGGGACTCTCACATGTAAGTCCTTTTGATAATTTAATAACCCACTGTGTCTGGCTAGTGCTCACATGGCATGAGGAACCTCCAGTAACCACATCCCTGAAGAAAAAGGACTGCTCTCCCATGAGCCCTCCCCCATGCATGCTGAAGTGTTGACTGGCTTGATCTCATGTAGGTAACTACAGCTGCTATGAATTCATGAGAGCAACAGCCAAGACCAGAAGACAGCACTTCCTTGCATGCCTGCCCATCTTCCAACTCTCACATTCTTTCTGTCCTTTACTTGGAGATGTTCCCTGAGCCTTGTGAGTGTGTGTGTATGCAGTTTGCTAATTCAAGGGAAATCAATAGTCTATTCTCCGAAAGTTCTAACACTTTTGTTTTAACTGATAAAATCCTGTCTCTTTAAATGTCCATTTTGCAGTTAAGGTTTTTTTTTTTTTTTTATTGACACATACACAGAGATTTTGCAAGTGTTCTTTGCACTGGGACGTATACTGATTTCTAGATGAATGTAGGAAGGAGAATGCTTGCTTTGAGTGTGCAGTGGGTTATCCTTCATTTCACACTTTCTTTGAATCAAGGAGAGAAACCTGAAACTTGGCAAGATGGCCAAATCATTCTAAAATATGTTTATAATACTTTGTATATTTAAAGGAGCCTTTCAGTTAAACATCAGTTTACATTTTAGCCTTAACTCCATCAGATAGAGGGATAATTCTTCAATAGATGCAAGAATAACCTGAGTTGCATCCAGTGTAAAATCTCTGAGGGAAACTGTAAATGCTCAAGTCAGGCACATATTTAAATCAGTGGTTCACACCTCACTGTGTCCTATCACAGAAAACCACCCTGAAATACAGCAGAACCCCCACGCAAGGATTCACGTTTGTGGTTCTGTTACTCACAATCAACCATGGTCTCAAGACACTAAATAGAAAACCACAGGACTATAAACTGACCTTACTGTATGATAATCAAATCAGTTCCAATATTAGAGTTGTAATTTCTGTTCAAATAAAACACGGAATCAGTAACACCTGGCAAGGTGTTTCTAAAGGACAATATTTTAACAGCTTGTGATTTGTTCTCATTCAGTGGGCTTCCCTTGGACTCCATGAAGTGATAATATCCTGAGAGAGGTTTGAGAAAAACAAACTTACTATTTTTTTCACACAAGCACTTTAGTTACAAAGTTACAAAATTACCCTCAAAAACCTGTGTTAATTTTAAGCAGGAAACTACCTGAAGATGTATGCCTGAGTATAATATCTAACCCACTTCAGGAAAGCCATTTGTCTTCTAGGAATCAGGGCCAGTTTGTATGGTGGTTTGCAACCGGCAGACACATTATTAAGACTCTGCCTTAGAAACATGTGTGAGGCTGTGAGCAATGCGTTTCCTGACTCCCAACATGAGGCAAACATCTGGGGAAGGCAAGGCTGCAGTGTGCTCTTCCACATAAGCTTGCTCTCTACGGCAAGGCTGGAGTCTCCCGGGCACCACTGTCTTGCTCATAAAGTGCAGTCTCTTTTGTTGGTCCGGAGGGACTTTAAGGTAGGAGGATCAACAGGAAGTATTACCAAACCTTTCTGGCTGTTCTCTGAAACAGCAAAGTTGCTGTAGCCTGGGAGAATGCACGGAGCAACTCTTCCTATAGAAATTATGAAAATGGAGATGTTTCCATTCCAACTGCATCATTCCTTAAAATCTGAAACATTTGTGTTGATTTCTATTGGCTACTATAATGAGTTACTGCATTTATTGGTTTAGGACAATACAAATGTTATTTTAATAGAACTAGAGCAGTGGTTTCCAACCTTCCCAATATGAGCTTTTTTAATACAGTTCCTCATGTGGTGACCCCCAACTATAAAATTATTTTCATTACTACTTCATACCTGTAATTTTGCTAATGTTACAAACTGTAAATATCTGATATGTGTACAAAGGGGTCATGACCCACCACAGGTTGAGAACTTATGAACTAGAGGATGCTAGCTCTGAAATGAAGGCATCAGCAAGGCTGGGCTTCTTCTAGAAGCACTAGGGGAGAGCTACTTTCTTGCCTTTTCTAGCTTCTTGGACCGTTTTGATTTTTTGGCATGTGGCCTTACATCTTCAACAGTATCAGCACGGTGTCTTCTCTCCTTTGTTTCTGCTCTCCTTCCCCTCTGACTCTCCAACCTTCCTCTTGAAAGAACTTTTGATGATTCCATTGAGCCTCTCCAGGTAATCCAAGACAGTCTATATATCTCTGCCAGTCAGTCTGTCCATCTATCCGTCAGTCAGTAAATCAGTTAGTCATCTGTCTGTCTTTCTGCTATCTATCTATCTATCTATCTATCTATCTATCTATCTATCTATCATCATCATCTCTGTGTTTTGTTCTTTTGACAGGTTTCTTTATGTAGCTCTGGCTGTCCTAGAACTCACTCTGTAGACCAGGCTGGCCTCGAATTCACAGAGATCCACCTGCCTCTGCTTCCCTGGTGCTGGGATTAAAGAAAGGCATGTGCCACCAATGCCCAGGTACCAGACTTCTGTTAAGAGAGAAGGGATAAGTCGTGGTTTCCAGGATTTCCATCCATGGTTTCTTGTCATGCCACTGCCCAGTCAGTATACCTTACAGAAAGGAAAGGTAGAAACGTCTGTTCATTTCACTGAACTCAGGAAACACAAAGAGGGAATGGTTGTAGTCTCAAGTCCTCTTTCAGGACACAACTTCAATGCCTAATATCCTCTCACATGTCCTACTTTTTAAAGGCTCCTTCACCTCTCAATAAAGCGTAACTGAGTGGCAAGACTTGAAGGATGTTTAAGATCCACTCCATAGCACCTTCCCATCCCTAGGTTCTGAACTCAATAACAGTTACAAAATATCCCTTGCCACCAAATTAACATAAGCAGGGGTTCTGAAGAAATATAAACATATTTTCTTGACCATTATTCTGTGTATGACAACCATTTGGAGATTTCAGTTGCTTTGTAGAAATCTAGTTTAGTAGTTTATTAAAATGGAATCATTAAACTTGCCTCATGGGGATATAAATGAGCTAAACTAGGTATCAGGTGGAAGGGAAGATGGAGGAAAGCCTTGTGCAGAGGCAGCAGCTCTGAGCTTCGGCAGCAGGTCTACTCAGATATTCCCCTCACCGCTGAGTACCAGGCCGTGCTACCTCTTTGGCCTCAGTCTCCTCATCTCAGAGTGTGAATTTTTTTGTTTTTGTTTGTTTTTCGAGACAGGGTTTCTCTGTGTAGCTTTGCGCCTTTCCTGGAACTCGCTTTGGAGACCAGGCTGGCCTCAAACTCACAGAGATCCGCCTGCCTCTGCCTCCTGAGTGCTGGGATTAAAGGCGTGCGCCACCACCACCCGGCAAGAGTGTGAATTTTTTCACGCATTATTTTTCCGCTTTTCTGTCCTGTTATTTGGAAGTCACTTACAATCCAAGAGAATCAAGAGATGATGAGGGCCGGTCACGAGTAAGACAGAAATTTGAGGGTACTCCTCATGCAGGTAAGACTGTAGAATGGATGAACATGTACAGAACCCAAACCAGAACCAAGACCTGTCACGATGGAAGAGTGGCTGGGAGAGAGACAGGGAGTGGAGACTGGAGAGCTGAGGGGGCTGAGGAAGAGCAAGAGGATAAAAAGGGGATGTGAGGAGGAAGACTAAGGCCCTGGAAGTCACTGAAGATGTGAGGTGATCATCCCCTTAGAAAGCACATGCAAAGGACCGATGGGAACCACGACAACCCAGGAACACAGAAGGCGAGAACTGTGGATGTGAGGAGACAAAAACAACTTCCGAGCAAGGCAAACAAATCGTGGGGAGGGAGGACCATGCTTTCCCAGAGTTGATGGTAACCTGTCCACAGGGAGGTCTACAGAAGAGGGAAGTGAAAGAAGAAAGCACCGAAACTTATCTTTAACTCCAAAGAATAAAAAGAAATGGTTAGGTCTAGGAACCTCTCCTCCTATGTATGAGAGGAAAGCAAAGGCTGAGGACGGTAGTGCTGAAGAGATAAAGGTATAGGGAAACACTGGGTGAGGTTACTGATTTTATCAGTAAAACTGGAAGCAAGGTCATCTGCAAAATGTAAGACAGGAATCATCACAGCTACCACCCAATTCCTCGGAGTGTCCAACACCCTGGGTCAGCAGTCTTGGAAGCCATTGAACTGAGCGCAGAGGTCAGAAAGATTATAGTCATGTATCATTATGCAGTGATATACAGTAAGAGATGTGATGCAGACTGTTTTGATGCGGACACATCGCATCACTGAGTGTACTATCCAAACCTTGGGGGTGCGGTCCACTGCACAACTCTGCTGTCATGTATGGCCACCAACATAAACACACTAGTGGTTAGGGACATCACTTTAAAGCTTGAATTTGCTCAGATCAAATACTGAGAGAGAATTTAAATGACTTTTACATGGAAGACTTGGTGCTGGCCTTCCTGCAAAGACTACCTCCACCTAGCAATCATGTGAGGGTACAGGAACTGTTTTCTTTATACAGACAGAAAGAAGAATTTGCATGAAAACATTATTCATACTTGGTTATTTTATTATCATATATCACTGTTTACATTTTCTTTGTGACATTTAAGGATATTATAAACAAAAATCTCTGCATGGCATATGTAAGCACTAACAGTCTGAAGGAGAGCAGGCAGCCCTGTAAACCTAAGATCTACTCACACTGAAACAAGCTAGCTTGTGCAGAGTAACAACTGGAAGAGGTTAAAACAATGGCATACTGGTAAGTGCTCAGGTGTGTAAGAACAGCTGGATGGGAAGAACTCTAGTCTCACACACAGCCTTAGATGTGGATTCCACCTAGAAGTTGATCCCTCGGTCCAGAAGTGCTTTCATAACTCCTTTTGTTTGACATTTATCAATACAGACAAATGCATATTCAATTTAATGTGATTTTATTATGCTTAGATGTTTTAGTTATTTTATATAGATAAAAACACACTATATTGCCTTTAAAACTTTTAGTTTTATAAGTGTGTAATTAAATGTTACCATACTTACAATGTCCAAAGTAATTTTCAATTGAACACTTGTTAACATGTAGCAGAGATTGACAAAATGGTTTCTATGACAACTTTTAACGAAAATGGAACATAAACCCAGACCACTCATCTAAACCCTTAGTGATACCTCATGCTGGAAGCAAATTGTGAAATGTCTTAGACAGTCGTTTCTCAATGCTTAATCCTAAAGATTCAGAATTTTGACTGAAAATGCATGGAATTGAAAAATCCTTTTACCTGAAGCCATGTTTACATACCTTCATTTTCTAAAAGAAAAACAAAAGAGCCTGTATTTCAGTGTTCCTCAACCTTCCTAATGCTGCAACCCTTTAATGTAGTTCCCCAGGTAGTGGTGACCCACAACCATGCATTTATTTTCATTGCTACTTTGTAACTGTAATTCTGCTACTGTTATGAATTATAAATACCTGTGTTTTCTGATGATCTTTGGTGCCTCCTATGAAAGGACTGTTTGACCCCCAAGAGGTCAAGACCTACAGATTGAGAACCACTGCTGTATTTTAATACTACATCTCAGTTTGGGATTTCATCACATTTTTAAACAATATATGAAAACCAGGTCCATGCCCTTCATATATCATATCTAAGTAAATGGCACAGACAATGACGGACCCCAGTGTTTTCTCTCCTTTAAGCCACTTTAGAAGAGTCAATTTTGCAGTGACAAATTTGCCGTATTGGTAGCAAAGGCTATACAGACAATGTATGGAGGTGAACCAATTATATTTATCTTTATCTTAATACCAGCTCAAAAGCCTCAACTCATTATTTGATTTCTTAAAAAGATACACTGAAAAAAATATGCATCTGAGGTAAGGACTAGTCTTCAATGAAAACTGAAACTATTTTTCAGATTATTTTGTTCGTTACATTTATGCAATGCACCATTCATTTCATTCATTAAAATACCTTGCACCAAACATGGCATCTTCAATCTTAACACTCCTCAAATATGAGAAAAACTAATAGCTTCCACTAGCATAAGAAGTGAAATTTAGCCGGGCGTTGGTGGCGCACGCCTTTAATCCCAGCACTCGGGAGGCAGAGGCAGGCGGATCTCTGTGAGTTCAAGGCCAGCCTGGGCTACCAAGTGAGTTCCAGGAAAGGCGCAAAGCTACACAGAGAAACCCTGTCTCGAAAAAACCAAAAAAAAAAAAAAAAAAAAAAAAAAAGAAGTGAAATTTATAAGGTCAACATAACAAAAAGGATTGCAGACCCAACACAGCTTTTAAAGACAATTTATACACAATGAAATGAGTGCTTTGCGTAATAGCTATAGAGCTAAACAAACTCCACTTCCCTTCCTTGCAGCCTGGTGAACATGGCTGCCTTGAGCACTTTACATGTGGTGTTCCGTCATCAATATAGAGGTGTCAGTGAGAGCAAACAGTGGCATTCTCAGAACGCCGCTTCTCAGAAAACACTGTTAAAATGTAAGTGCTACTGTCTGAATATTTATGTAATAATTAAATAATTTTGGTAACACGTTATTTTCAAAATTTTCAATGTAAGGCACAGGGGAACATCCAAAGTCCAGGGCAAGTATATTACATAATAAACAGTTATCTCTCAGTCATCATTTGCCCTTTATCTGAAGAAAGAGGACAAGTAGTGCAGTCAAAACATGCCCGAATTAATAAAAACAATGGGATTTAGGAAACTCCAGTAATAATTGTGTGCAGAAAGAATATTAATTCAAAAAAAGATAAAGAATATTTATACAAAATAGACACCCTATTGTGTTACAGGTAGATAGAAAAAAATGTGAGGCACTTATATTAACAGTGCAGAAGGAAAACATTGAGATTTTTCTTTTGATAAAAGCACCAAACCATTTATTTTAACATCTGAGACAAAAACAAGTTAAAAATATAGGAAATCAATTAGTCCTGTAACTCTGTATTTGGTATACTAACAAGAATCCTGAAGTTCAAAGCTCAAAGTACTTCACTGTTTTCCTGGCTGAAGTCACTGGGCAGTGAAGTTCAACTTTCCAGAGTCCTAAAGTTCTCTGCCGTGAGCCCTGGCGCCCGACGTGCGGAAGCTGTGTAAATTACTGTGGTCTCTCCCTACGCTCCCAGGGAGCTTCCCACTTTATAGGTGACTGACAATATGTTTTTAAACTCCTTTTCTAAACACAAAGATTCAAATCTGGTTTGGAAAAAGAGTGCTGATGCCCAGCATTGACAGTTCCTGAACGAATTTCATCCTGGGCTTGAAGTTACAGGAATCCACTGGGTGTGGTATCAGGAAAAGACCTGGCTTCTGCTGGATGATGAAGAGGAGCAGCAGTCTGAGTGTGACCAACGCTGTTTAATTCAGACGAATAGGTTTCGTTTAACACTCCCCGATTCTGAAACTGAAAACAAAAACAGCAGAGTGACTTGTTAAGAGCTCTAAACAACACCTTAAGAGAACGCTCTAGACCCCTTAATCTGCATGATTCTTGTTGTTCCTATTACATTACAATATAGGTATGATTTAATGAATTTATTTGTAATACATGTTTAATTAACTTTTCTGCAAGTTACCAAATGGAAAATGCTTGCTTGCTGTGTTGGCTGGTTTTATGTCAACTTGACACAAGTTAGAGTCATCAGAAAGGAGGAAACCTCAATTGAGAAAATGCCTCCAAAGATTGGAAGGTAGGCCAGCTGGGGCTAAAGAATCAGCTGTTTTCTGAGAGCACAGAGAAGCTGTGTTCCAGAGGCAGCCAAGGTGGCAGCTTGTGCTGACAGCCAAACCTGGTAGTGTAAGAGTCACCCAGGTGGTACTGGTTTTGAAGGCATGAAGGGGTCATGGAGAGCAGCTGAGGCCTGGCATTGTGAGAGGCCAGGAGAGGTCATTGGTGAAAGTGGAGCTTGAGTGGCAGTTGAAAGCCCACAATTAAATGTGGTCATGGAGGGAACTTGAGGCTTGGCACCATGAAGAGAGTCCAGGACAGGCTATTGGTGAAAGCGCAGTCCAGTTGCTGCAGAAGACCCCAGCATTTTGGAGATGTCAGTACCATGGGGTGACCACCAAGAACAGCAGCAGCTACAGTGAAGCCGCTGGATCTTAGAAGATCAACTGTTATGCTGCAGAGGTGAAGCCTGAAGAGTAACCCATGCCCTCTGGAGGAGCCCAGAAGACTGGGAGTGGGTCCCAGACATTGGACACGGAGTTATTTAGAGTTGGAGTTTGGTTTTGCTTTGATTTTACTGTGATTGTGCCTTGGCTCTTTTCTTGAAGTTAGAGGGTATTTAATTGTATTTTGATTTATAGGACTCTACAGCTTAAAGAATTTGAACTTTTAAAAGAGATTTTGGATTTTAAAAGATATTGGATATTTTAAAGAAACCAAACTTTTAATGTGTTCAAATTTGTAAAGACCATGGAGCTTTTAAAGTCATTTATCTTTTACCTATTTACATTTATCTCTTATATTATATATCTTTTATGTTTATCTTTTATATCAGTATTAATGTGCCATCTTGGGGATAAATGAGAAAGGGATGTTTTGTGTGTCAAGTTGACAAAGGGTCAGTACTGGCTAGTTTTATGTCAACTCGACTCGGTTAAAATTACTGGAGAGGAGACAGCCTCAACTGAGAAATTGCCTCCATAAGATCTGGCTGTAGGCAAAAGCCTGTAGAACATTTTCTTAATCAGTGGTTGATGTGGGAGGGCCCAGCCCTTTGTGTGGGGTTTCACAGGAAAGCAGGCTGAGCAAGCCATGGAAAGCAAGAAAGTAAGGAGCATTCCTCTACGACATCTGCACCAGCTCCTGTCTCCAGGATTTCTGCCCTGCTTGAGTTCCGGCCCCTCCTGTTTTTTGATGATGAACTGTAATATGAGACTGTGAGTGAAATAAACCCTTTTCTCCTCAAGTTGCTATTGGTCACGGCATGTCACCACAGCAATAGTAACCATAACTAAGACACTTGCTTTCTTACACCAAAACTAGTCTCATTTTCAGAACTGCTGAAAAAGAGGAAGGACAAATGTAAGAGCTCTGTAGGGGCCCACAGAGGCTCCTTAGTAAGGTCTTACTCAAGGTCAGAAAGTCTGAGCTTGCTTTACCCAGCAAGGCTCCACAATAGGATGATTTGGCCAAAGGCGTGTTTACCAGGTGTTTTGAAGGGTCTACACTTGTTTGTACATTGTGCTTTGATCTTGAAAGGGGAGGTCTTTTGCCTCTCCCCTTGCTAGTATATAGAAAGCTCATTAGAGATAAACTCAAGGATGCTGGGTATTGACCCAGGGTCCTCCCAAAGTTATCCCAAAGCTATCCTGCATCTCTATCCTTTTTCTTCATCTACTTCTATATCTCCTTACTAGGGAGTCTCTGTGGGCCCCCACAGAGTTCATAGTCTATAGAACCTTCACTTTATAGTGTATAGTTGATGAAATAAAATAAAAATAAGATAAGTCATAAAATCATTCCTGAGCAGCTTCAATTAACTCATTTATTTTGCAGTGCTGGAGATCCAGCGAGGGGCCTTGCCAACCTTCTAGATCCAGCTAGTACATACATGCTAGTTCAGTGCTCCACCATGGAGCTATACTCAGGGCCTTTCCCCAATTTTATTCTGTCTCCCTGTTTTCCAGGTTGCCTTTGAACTCACTCCATAGCCCCAACACCAGGCATGAGAAGCACCCTTTTGAACTGTTGGTCGTGGTTTCATATACCTACAAGTAATGTACAGACTGTACAGGTTGTATTTGTATATTTTGGAACACACACACAACTGCGCGTGCCAACAATTAAAGAGATCATCAATTTGAAGGAGAGGAAGGGGGAATAGCAGTAAAGGTTGGAGGAAGGAATGGGAAAGGGGAAAGGATGTAATTGTATTTTAATTTCAAAAAAAGAAACTATTTTAAAAAATAAAATTTCATGCGTATGGGTGTTTTGCCTACATGTATACATGAGTGACACAAGTGTGCAGTGTTCAAGGAGGCAGAAGAGGTCACTGGATCCCTGGGAACTGGAATTATCGACAGCTGTGAGCTGCCCGTGTGGGTGCTGGGAATCAAATACAGGACCTTTAGTAGAACAAGCAAGTGTTAACTGATGAGCTATTTCTCCAGGTCCAAAATGTTGTTAGTTTTTGTAATTGTCACATAATGACTCATGCACATTCATCATTTACATTAGGAACATTTGGATTCCTCTTTCTAGTAATGGTGAATCATACAGGGAATTACTGCTGACTGCAGTCGTCCTACTGTGTGTTCCTGCTGTCTGTCAGTCAGTACCCAGTGAATTACTGCTGACTGCTGTCGTCCTACTGTGTGTTCCTGTTGTCTGTCAGTACCCAGTGAATTACTGCTGACTGCTGTCGT